GGTTTGCGTTTCGTGAAAAATAAACAGCAGGCCGGTATCCCTCATTATGCAGTTGCCTGTGTTTGGCGTCCATCTGCGGGGGTTTCTTGCAACTTCAGGCAGAAGCACTGCGCACGCGCTATTGGGCTGACAGATGGACGCCCTTCCCGTTACACGAATTGCCCGCCCAATATCTTCGACTTGTCACGACAAACGCCCTTCAAACCACATCACAAATGCGGTATTTTTTTAGGAGGTCCTTTCTCCTGCTTTTCGATAAGAACTCCAATTGTTCCATCTGGCAATACTCACTCATCTTCATCATCAACATTTCGACATCGAACCACTTCTAGCTTTGCATTCACAACCCCGCATACATTCAGACATGGCCGAGATCAACGACCTCATCTCCGTAACTTTCCGTGTTGCAACCAAGGACGACGCTCCTCAAGTCGCACAGCTCGTAGAGGCCGCATTCCGCGCCGAAGACAGCCGAGCAGATTGGACGGCCGACATGGAACTCGGCAGATCGTTCCGCTACTCAGCCGATGAGGCTCTCGCCACCATCAACAACCCGGATGCAGTAGTCCTCATGGGCTTTGACTTCCACGGCGTCCTCGCGACCTCGGTCCAAGTTGTTTTCAAGCGTGAAGCCCAAATGGCCCGAATTGCCATGCTTTCCGTGAATCCCCAGCTGCAGCGCAGCGGTGTCGGGCGTCAAACTCTTGACTCTGCCCAGGCCTACGCTTGGAAGCATTACGACATCAAGAAGTTTGGGTTGAATGCCCTTTCATCTCGCGAAAAGTTGCTCGCGTGGTATGAGCGCTGTGGATATCGAAGGACAGGAGAAACTTTGCCGTTCCCTGTTGATCGGTTCCCTCGCCTAGATCTTCCGAAAGATTTGTGCTTCATCGAGCTAGAGAAGGATGCCACGCCTGTTGTGGTTTGATCAAGGCTCCCCAAGGAAGTTACAGAAATGAACTCAAGGTAATATTGTTTTGGGATACCTGCGGTCGAAGGGCCTCTATCATAGAGACTCCTCAGGATCTAGACGTACCAGCAACGACGGACTTGAGAATGTTAGGTCAGCACAGCTTTGAGGTTTTCTAAGATCTCGCTAACGTCTTAAAGATCTTTCTTTATCAATCCTCAAGATGCGTTTCAAGTACAAAAAACGCCGTTACATCCTCAACTTTTATTCTTACGACTATCGCACCCAGCCCTACTACTCTTACCGGATGCTTCTTTTGTCACTTTCTCTGATGAAAACATCATTGGAAGCCTACATAGGATAATCTCAATAAGGCTGCTTATGATGGTAAGGGCTTGCTTATATGTTGATCGGCACGAGCAGTCAGGTGGTCAAAGAGCTTCTTTTGATGCAAAAGGGGCGCGGGGTTTCTCTTCCATGTCAGTCATTTCTGTGGACCAAAACATTTCCTTTTATTACATTGAGATTCAACTCGCTTAGAGAGTAGTATCTTCAGACGTAGCCACTTACGATCGCAACCTGAAATACTTACCTAGACAACGAAGTCCAACGTGCTGCATGCTTGAATTGGTGAGGTGAATAACGTCAATCTGAGGGGAGAACATGTTATTCTGTTAAGTAGAGCTTTTAAAAGAACAGAGTGGCGAGTCCCTCTCCCAACACTACCTGCACTCGTTTAAGAGCACTCCAAATTCTTGACTCGCAGCTGGCCAACACCAGGGCCGACGCTCTCAATGTTGCACAATGCATCTTTCTTACCTTCCAAGACAAAGTCCAATGTCCTCCGTGAGAGCTCAATCTCAATCTTGGCCAACACATCGTCGTCTATGGTGCCCAAAACCTGCTTGATGAGATCGGAATACTCTATGGGCAGAGCCTTGACGGCCGGAAGTTGCGGAGCGTCAAAGAAAGACATGTGGGTTGTCCCGTTGACGACCAACATCAAGGACGGGCCACGCAGATTAGCCCAAGTCTCATTCCAGCCGGAAATGTAGTCAAACGTCGTCGGTGTGCCGACCAGCACCAGGGGCTTATCGATTCCCTCGGCCAGGACTGGTCCGAGCATCTGACCGTCGAAGTTGAGGCCGCCGAGGATGCGGTCATCGACATAGAGGGATGAGGCTACCGTAGCGCCTCCGAAGGAATGACCGGCGATGAAGATCTTCTCTGGGTTGATGGAAGCCTGAGTCCCAGCGAGGAGCGGTGTAGCTACCGAAGGGTCCAGAAGCTGGTCGATTATGAAAGAGACATCTTTCTGACGACTCTGTGGGATAGCGATGTTTAGCATCTTCGATTCGACATGGCTAGGCTCTGCAAAAGTAGACTCACCTCAAGAAGGCTCTTAACGTAAGCCGTGTCGCTATTCGTCGCGTTCTCCGCAAATCTGATAATTCCATCAGGGAACTCAACGATCGCGGCATCGTACGTATGGTCCAGAGTGACGACGATGTACCCGTAACTAGCAAGAGACCGCGCTAGCACACCATGCGCAAGTCTTGAGCTAGCTCGTCCGTGTGAGAAGAGAACGAGAGGGTACTTTTCATTTTTCTCGGCCCCGGCGCAAGGAGTATCGATGTTGCAGAACTCAAGCTCCATCCCGGAAAAGATGGTGTCCGGTAGTCCAAACAGGGTCGCGGCCCCTTGGCCGAGGGCGACTGCTGTGGTAGGCGGCACATAGGGAACGGTTTCGATGGAACATTTCGCTTCCTTCTTCAGGGGAACGTGGACGGAGACCATAACTCTGCGCTTCTCAGGTTGGTCTTGAGGGGCGTGAGGGTCCCATCGTGCTGCGTCTTCGAACGCTTTCACCCGCAAGGCAACGAGATATGGGCCGGGAGGGCCTGGGATGACGACTGCTGAGGCCATTAAAGCGAATGAAGAAAAGATGAAGAACAACATGCCTGTGTTCCCGGTGGAGATTTTACAAGTACATGATGCTCAAATATACTTACGACCGTCTAGATATACGCTGAATCCTGTCTATGCAGTGACTCCCAGGTCATCTGAACCGCAGATGGAATGCTGACATCGGCGTTTGGGATAGTGCACATGACCAGTGAAGTCTTTCTTCTATGCTGACTGTATGATGATCTTCATGAGGGGTTGAACCAAAGTCCATCCCACGTATGCAGCTGCCCGGCATGGAGACTTTCTCCGGACAGGCTGTGTCGTGTCCGAAAACCAATCGACCCCGTTCCGTCTATCGCCCACTGTCGCCGGAATCTTCCGCAGGGTGAGTGAGATTAAGGCACAGTCGTTCCTTATTGAGCCTTGGCTTTGTCGCGGACGAATTACGCCCGAGGCTTACATGTACTCTTGTTTCGACGGCACAGCAGCATCGTCTATGAGTCAAGCCGGTAAGTTGAACGAGTAATTAAGGAATCGGAATCAAGCTGATTGGCTAATATCATGTGTCCTTATGTTAACTAAACCTTGCAGTGTACATGAACTTATGTCATCGACTACCTCAAGAAGGCTTCCACTTTTGCTCGAGTATCTATGCTATTTCAATTAATCTCATCTACCTTATCTTGAGTAGGCACACCTATACAGAACATTGGCGCACTGGTCTTCCAATACCTAAGTACCAGTAATATAAATGGATGTGGAAAAAGCGCATTGAGGGCAGTTCTATGCTTCCGATTGGCATTGGAAGTAAGCTAGGACGAACTAATGGGACGAACGATGCATGTTCTAGCTGAATCAGCCAATACCAGATGAACTTGACGACGAGATCGTTGGCTCTGCAAGCGGTATGCTCCCTTTTTGAGACCAGAAACTACGTCAATCATCAGTGAACATATGTCATTAGGCTGATTTTTGATGATAGCGCATCAAAATGTCATTTAGGCGAGATGCCGATATACGATATGCATTCGAACCAGTCAGATGCATTCGCACTAAGAACCGTGTACCCATATTAAGAACCGTATGTTTTATTGCCATTCTCGCAATTATAAAAACTAAGGAAGACCAAGACGTTCACTTAGTGCTAACGAATGGCCAAAGCAAGACTTAGCAGTAGAGGCTGACATTCACTCACGTATTCCACTCACCGCCTCATCCACGTATTCCACCTGTCATCTTGTATTATTCCTGCCGTCTTGTATTCTGTCTTCCGTCTTGTATTCTGTCTTCCGTTTTGTCCTCTGTCTGTCGGTGTATATTCTACCTACCGCCTTTCTGCGTATTGTTGCTAGTTCCGGGTTTCAAACGTAGCCTCGACCAAGAGGGCGGAGAATTCCGTGGAACTGGGTGAGCAGGACCGGAAAACGCCAACTACTAGATAGCGAACGCTTAATGGAATGGGAAAGGAATAGAAGGAACCGGGCTATTGGTCAAATCAACCGCAGGCTAGCAAATCCAACCTACATCACATCCACTTATGTTCTTTCTCGTTTGAGCTCTGGCATTGCGCCGATTCTAGTGAAAGTCCATATGACACCGCAACTGACAAAACTTGAATTTACTCTCTACCTATCAGGGCCATAAGCGTAGTGCGTCTCGTCTCATGAATTTGTTCTCCACTTTGGACCTTTACACCACTCATCTCGAGACTCTCGAGACTCTTGGGAATACCCTGGTACCCCTATCTTGGAAACCTGGAAGCACTAGAGTAAACACCCTACCCCTCCCCGAATACTTGGAACTCGTCAGAGTACTTTGGTGTATTCAGCCCAGTCTTTACCGTTTCTACAGTTTGCGTCTTTGCACCAGAAGAGATGCTTGGTTGCGTCATCCCAGTCCGGCCTGTAAGACTCAGGATCCAGCAACTTGGCTAACGGACTAGTAACAGACGAAGGCTTCTCATCAGTCACGATGTTGAGATCTGAAGAAAAGCGGGATAGAAATATCTGGCGACCAACTCTTCCCCATAGGTACGAACTCGGGCATATCCTACAGCGAACTTCGTGTTCGCTATGTGGCAGGAGCTCCGCACTACTCTCTCGACCTCCCGCTCTTCTCAAGTCTCGAGTCCCCCATCGGGCCTCGTCGCAGGCAACGAGACGCCCAATCCGGCTGTTTCCGCCTAGTCAGCCGCAGTGACGGGGTCCGAGAGCCCTGAGTAGTTGAGAGGTGATTCCGTGTCGGCCCAAGTGAGGGAAAAGGCATTGCCGTACTTGGTTTGAAATTCCTTCAGCTTCTGCGTAATGAAGTCCACAGTGATGGCTTCGTTTTTGACTATCCTAAATAACGGCAACTCCCAAGTGATCATCACTTTGCGTAGCCAATCAAAGATCCTTGGTAATGCGTAGAGTGCTATTGTCGGAGGCAGAGGGATCCACCGAGAAGCAGCCCCTTTGTGATGCAGGGTGGTGGTGTCTTGGAAGTCTATGCCTTCACACTCGCGGCAACCTTTGGCCGCAAGGAATACATTGTAGTTGTATCTGATTTGACGGGCTTCATCTGAATCGGCTTGCTTCGAACGTGTCTTATCCCAGACCCAAGAGAACGGCACCGTAGATGAGAACAAAGCCATGTGAACCCGTCGTGCGCGATACACTAACGAACATCTCGGCGCTTCTTGCGCTCTTCGGCAGAGAATATCAAGTGCCTGTAGGGCAATTCACAGCGAGAACAATGCATTTCATCCTGCTTAGTGTATTGGTAATATTCATGACGATAGGTGGCACGCGAAAGTCTCCTTGTCAGACACTGGGAGCAAAAAGCGTGCGGTCTGGCTCGCAAGACGGTGGCTGGATCTTTCACGAAATTACCTGCCCTGCGTGCCCGGGAAATGGCCTCTGAACGCCGGAACTTCTTGACTTCTTTTCCCTAATAAACATGCCAAAAGGTAAATGATGCTTGGCGTACTATGTAAAGATCGACTGGCTCAAGACCATCCATTATGGGTAGCAGCAGCTCATCAGGCAGCTAGATGATTGGGCTTTGACGATAGTTTCTGTCAAAGTTGATCTCCCAACAAGGACGCTCGTGTGATAGTATGAGGTTCTTCCGCTTGTGGCGTCGATGTCGCTTTAGAACCTATCAATTCTGAGCTTCGGGCTCAGAGCATGTCGAATCGGGGTTGCCACCGCCCTTCTATTCACCTGCTTCTACTTCGGAGGGCTTAGAAGCCTCCCCAATTCTTCTTCCCAACTAGCTAGTTGTGCTACTGACTTTAGAGGTGGCTAGCTCTTCTTAATTTTGTTCTTAAACATGCCCGCGAAGTTAATTACTTAACTGACTGCGTCGAAAATAAGAGTTAAGACGGGACCGGACCCTATATCTATAGCTTCCTTTGGCTTTTTAAGGTATATATTCTGTTAAATAAATAAAAACTAAAGATATTAGATTAGAAGTCTAATTCGACCGTAGTATATAGCTAACTACGCAAGGGCTAATTAAGGGCCCTATTTATAATTATTATAACTAGCCTAACTTATAGTTAGAACCTCCTTTTTATACTTATATAAAAATTAATATAATTTAATTAACTTCTTTATTAACTTATAATTCGAACTAATTACCCTATAATAAAAATACTAATACTAATTAGTAATTAAATTTTATTATTATAAATTAGTAAAGTCCCCCCCGACGGAGCAATCCGCCGGGGCCGTACCGTGTATTACGTATTGGGGAAAACTGGGTATATTGCGCTCCATACCTAACTACTAATCAAAATCAACCGACTCGACCATTGTCTCCCTTTCATCAACAGCTCCCAACCTTCCGCCGCCCGCCTACAGGGCGAGCTTCACCCACTCCAACGCGCACAGGACCTCCTGGTGCCAGCCCGCGTGGGCAGCCAGGTCCAGCATAATCTGTTCTTTTATATGGGTATTATCGTTACCCGGGGGGTCCCG